AGAGCACGTTGGGACTGTCTGCCTAACAGGAGGGGCTGCCGCCAAAGTGTCTGCCCATCATGGAGAGCGGCGTTGGTGCCCTAAGTCAGCCAATCTGTATAGGGGCGGAGCTAAGCCATCATTTCTGGGTGCAGCTGAGAGAGAACCATGTGTCAGGAGTAGCAAGATGGTGGAAGCAGGTGTGCTTACCGGAGCTGCCGAGAGAGGTTGTGAACATCCAGCATGGCTGACTGACAGTGCGTTTCCTCTCCCACGGGAGTTTGGCCTTATGCAGTGGAGAGACTGGAGATCGTTTGGGATTGATATGTGACAGATGCCAGTGTGTGACTGTGAAGCTGCAAGTGTGGGGCTGGTGTGGTCATTGCGGATGTTGCTGGATCTAGTATAGAGTGATTGCCAGACCCAAGTGCTGCTAGTGGATTGGGAAACTCGGTACAGCACAGAAGCACTGCCTGCTGCGGCTATCCGTTCAGCTCCCCAGGCAGACAGAGACGTAAGGCGAATAATGCTGGTGCCAGGACCAATGGTGTATACCCCCACTACCATCTGCCAGACCACCTACCCAGTTCAGGCTGAACAGAAACCATTTTCTTCAACAGCAGTTGCTATTAGTCGCCCACAAGTGGGGACCCAAGTCACGATGGCCTACAGAGTACAGAGGCTAGCTTCATCGAACTCTTCAGGAGAGGAAGAGCCAGGAGCTATTGACACGGGGTCACCCAGCTTCCAGTACCATTATGGATACCTGGAAGAACGGATAGCAGATTGTGAGCCAGTTAAAGAGACTGAATGGGTCCATGAGGCTGCAGAAGAGAAAGGCTCTCAGTGCTCTGACTTGTTTGACAAGGAAAATGCCAGCCTTGAGCAGTGTGCAAGAAATCTGGGGTTCTGCGAAGCCTATGTAAACAGGAGACCTGATTTGTTCCCTCCGAAGAGTTATGTTCGGGCTCGAGCTGAGAATGACAGCATCCTTATCAAAAAGGAAACAACCCCATATGCTCCACCTGGGAGAGGTGACAGGCAGAAATTAGCAAGTTTCTCACAACTTCAGGTGCATTGTACAGAGGAAAGTGACCCTAGAGTATGGGTATGACTATCCAAATGGGATTCTTGCTGTGATGAAGCTGTGTGGGACTTTATGTAAATCCCCAAGCTCTTTCGCAACAGATCTAAACCCCCCCACTGGGAAGAATTCTTGTTTGTTAAGGAGAATTGGAGCCTGGGAGAATCCATCTTCATTGACAAGGTGGTGATCAACAGAGCTGGACAGCGGAGTCAAGTGCAGGCCAGCAATGTCTGGGGCCCTGATGAAAAGATGGCTCAGATTCCTCACCCAGACTTCTACTACTGAAGAACATGTGAGTTGATGTTATTTGCTTTTGTCATATTCTTAGTTTGAAATAAAAAAAATTTTGTCAATCGCTGTGTCAGAAGCACCTGACTGAGTTTGTTAGGGTTGCTTACAGAGGGCAATCCCTCTATTCCCAAATTCCCCTTCCCATTCTATCCTTGCAAATTGAAGAAGGGTGTATCTGGGGATTGTTGCTATTCTCAGACACCCAGGGCTACAACCTGGAGGGGGTAAACCCCCGATGCTCAGAGAACTCTTTGTTTTTCCTCCAGTCAAGTTTTTTTGGGCTGCTACTGTGGTGAATGGACAGCTGCTCACTTTCATTCTACTCAAGGTTTGGAGAAAAGACTTCCTATTCAAAGCTTTTCAGTTGTTGAAGTTTCAAGCTTAAATGTTAAAGGAAGTGCAACTTAACCACTTGCTATCCTGAGGATTTACCCCCCTTTCTGACCGGGCCTCTTTTTGCAATTCAGCGCTTCACTATTTCAACAGGTAATTGCGCGGTCATGCAATGACCTTATAGGACTCGCCATGGAGCACCTGGCTGTCAAGGACTGCTTGAACCACTACAAAAAAATTTACTGGCAAGTGCTAACAGAGATCAGGCCTGATCCTGTGAACACTGTGGTTTTGTGTGCGATGTATTATTATAATACAGTATTTATATAGCGCCAACAGTTCGCTCAGCGCTGTACATTACAATGGGAGACAATACACGAGACAGTACAATAACAATACAGTGCGACACACGAGGGGTTCAAGGGCCCTGCTCCTTGGAGCTTACAATCTAGGAGGGAGGGATAGTGGTACGGGAGGAATAGCTGTGGGGGATGGAGCGGTAGGAGGAGTGGAGGAGATCAGCAATTAGCTGAGGGCGTGGTAGGCTTCCCTGAAGAGGTGGGGTTTCAGGGTGTGCCTAAAGGAGAGCAGAGTAGGTGATAATCTGATGGATTGGGGTAGGGAGTTCCAGAGGATGGGGGAAGCCCTGGAGAAGTCATGGAGACGGGCATGGGAGGAGGAGACAAAGGAACTGGAGAGAAGGAGGTCTTGTGAGGAGCGGAGAGTAACGTTTAGGGTGGTATTTGGATATCAGGTCGGGGATGTCATTTGGGGCAGTGTTATTGATAGCTTTGTACATCAGTGTTAGCATTTTGAATTTTATCCATTCGGCAATCGGAAGACAGTGGAGGGATTGGCAGAGGGGGGGGGTGTGCGGATATGGAGAGGTTAGTAAGGTGGATGAGTCTGGCCGCAGTATTCAGGATAGACTGAAGCGGGGATAGACTGTGGTGAGGTAGGCTGGTGAGGAGGGAGTTACAATAGTCAAGTCGTGTGATATAATAAGGGAATGAATGAGTTGCTTAGTAGTTTCCGGGGTTAGGAAAGGATGTATTTTGGAGATGTTGTGGAGGTGGAGTCTACATGAGTTTGTCAGCGATTGAACCTGGGGCTGGAAGGACAGATTGGAGTCTAGGATGACAACAAGTACTCTGGCTTGCGGGGTGGGAGTGATGGTGGCATTGTTGGTCGTGATGGAAAAGTCAGGGGGGGGGGGGGCGCGGGCTGGGGGGAAAACTAGGAGCTCAGTTTTGGAAAGGTCCAGTTTGAGGAAGTAGAGTGACATCCAATCCAATATGTCGTTCAGTAGGCTAGTGATTCGGGCGGAGACTGAAGGGGTGAGGCGAGGGGTAGAGAGATAGATTTGCGTGTCGTCAGCATAGAGATGGTAGTTGAAGCCGTGAGTGTATCAGTTGGCCAAGGGAGGAGGTGTAGATGGAGAAGAGAAGGGGCCCAAGGACAGAGCCTTGAGGGACCCCAACAGAAAGGGGGAGTGTGAGAGGGAGGTGGCAGCGTTATAGGTAACACTGAAGGAGCGCTGTGATAGACAGGAAGAGAGCCAGGAGAGAGCAGAGTCTCTGAGGCCAAGAGAGTGTAGTTTATTGAGGAGGAGGGGGTGGTCGACTGTGTTGAAAGCCGCGGAGAGGTCGAGGAGTAGGAGCACTGAATAGTGGCCATTAGCTTTGGCGGTTAGCAGGTCGTTGGTGAGTTTGAGTAGGGCAGTTTCGGTGGAGTGTAGGGGATGGAAGCCAGATTGTAGGGGATCAAGGAGGTTGTTGTCATTGAGGTGGTAGCTTAGGCGATTATAGACTAAGCGCTCAAGGAGTTTGGATGTAAATGGCAGCAGGGAGATGGGTCTAAGGTTGTTCAGGTCGGTGGATCCAGGGAGGGTTTTTTAAGCATGGGAGTGATGTGTGCATGCTTCAGAGGGGAAGGGAATGCACCAGTAGAGAGGAAGAGATTAAAGATGTGGGTGAGGGAGCATAGGATGGAGGAGGAGGGAGAGCGTAGGAGTTGTGAGGGGACAGGGTTGAGGGGGCAGGTGGTGAGGTGGGCTTCAGAGAAGACCTTAGTGACCTCTTCAGTGGTAGCAAGGTTGAAGGAGTGGAGTGTTGAGGGGTTTTTAGTGTGAGGAATGTTAGGAGGGGTGGAGGTCTGGACAGTGGCAAGGTAGAGGGAGAGGGGTGTTGAGGGGATTTTCATGTGAGGGGTGCTAGGTGGGGTGGAGGTCTGAGCAGCGGCGATGTCCCTACGAATTGCGGCAATCTTGTTTTTGAAGTGATTGGCAATCTCGTGGGTGGTGAGTGAGGTACTGGGTGGGGGGTGGAGAGAGAGTAGAGAGTTAAAAGTAGAGAAGAGCCAGCGAGGACTGGAGGAGAGGGTATTGATGAGGGTCACAAAGTAGGCTTGCTTGGCAGCGTGGAGGGAGGAAGTGTAGGTGAGGAAGGCAGATTTATATCGGGTGAATGCTAGTTGGGATCTGGTTTTGCGCCATAGTCGCTCCAGCGCACGACTGCGTCGTTTGAGATTTTTGGTATGATCAGTCTGCCAGGGCTGAAGCGGTCGGGGTCTAATGCTTCGTGTGGTTAGAGGCGCTAATGAGTCTAGAGCGGTTGACAGCGAGTTGTTTATACGCAGTAGTGGCCAGGTCAGGGCAGGACAGGGGAAGGATACTGTCGTAAAGTTGATCAGCTGCAGAGTGGAAGGGGGCAGGGTTCAGGTTGCGGAGGTTTCGGCTGGTGATGGTTTGACATTTGGAGGGGTAGGTGTTTAAGGACGAGGAGATGGAGAAGGTAATAAGGTTGTGGTCAGAGAGAGGGAAGGGGGTGTTTGTGAGGTTGTGGGGAGTGCAGACATGAGAGAAGACAAGGTCCAGGATGTTCCCGTCGGAGTGGGTGGTGGACTGTATACACTGTGCGAGTGCAAAGGAAGAGGTTAAGTAGAGGAGTTGGGATGTAGCCGGGTTATTGATGTTGATAGGGATGTTGAAGTCTCCAAGTATGATGGTGGGTAGCTTGGAGGAGAGAAAGAAGGATAGCCAAGCAGAGAAGTTGTCGAGGAAGCGGGACACGGGTCCGGGAGGCCGATAGATTATCGCTAGGAGGTTGAGGGAGCGAGAAACAAAGAGGTCGTGGATGGCGGTGAGTTCAGGAGTGGATCGGTCGTTCAGGAGTGCACATGAGAACAGGGGGTGGTTTTGGGGAGCAGAGGGACAGGTATTAGATTGAGGGGGTTGCGGACGTTCGTGGAAGTGGGGGGGTGCCTTGTGGGTGAGCGAGGTGGTGGAGGACCAGGGCCAGGGTTCAGGGTTAGGAGAAGAAGGGTGAGAAAGGTGGCATGGGAGCGGGATGTACAAGAGTGCGTAAATCTACCAGTGGAGGTGTTTGGGTCAGTGGGAGAGTGGAGTATCAGGAGGAGGTGGTGAGAGCCGTAGAGGGGAGAAGGAAGCAGTGAGGGTGCAATGTACAGTTGTTTGGGAGGAGCAGAGGAATATAGAGAAGAGATTTTGGGAACGTAGAGAGAGGAGTATGAGGAGGAGGAGTAAAGGAGGCATTTTAGGAAGGTAAACGGAGTGGCGGTCAGGTGTGGTGGGAAGTTTCTCAGGGTGCTTGGTTGCAGATAGTCTAGTGTGCAGTGGCATATCTCGTCGCTGTGTCTTCCTGTAGCTAGAGCTCTCATGCCTAGGATCAGGATGGGTAGAGTTCAGGTCGATAGGTTGTGGCCAAGGGTGGTCAAGCCGCAAGTTCCAGTTTGTGTAAGTCCCAGTTTGAGAGGTGAGGTTTGGTTTGAGGAGATGAAGGGTGGACATCAACAGCGGAAGTGTTTCCCAGGTGGTGGAGATGAGGTGTAAAGGAGGTTGTGAGGGGTGGGCATCAGCTGTGGGAGATGGGCATAGTAGGGGTTGGGAGATCGCAGAATCAGCAGTCGGGCATTCTCCCGGACTGTACTCCCGGGGGTCAACAGATGGGCTTCAGGTCCAGGCAGGGTTGCGTTGTAGTAGGCGATGGTAGGCCTCACTAGGTCGAGGTCATCCGTTGGGCTCAGCAGGTCCGTGCAGGGTTGCGTCGTGGGAGGTGATGGTAGGCCAGGCCGAAATCATCTGCTGGGCTCAGTAGTGTGGAAAAGACGCTCGCTTCGGGTCACTCTTACGGGTATGGATGGGGATGTGCGGGTGGAGCTCCTTTAGGCCAGATGCAGGCTCTCTTTGGGTTGTCGGGGGGGGGGGTGTCATGGTAGGCCACGGCAGGCCCTACCAGGCCAGGTGCTTTGGTATTGAGGTAGGCCTCGGCCTAGGTGGTGTGGGTCCCTTGCTCCTCGCGGTAGGATCGAGGGGACCGCCGGTGCCCTCTCCCTGTCCTCAAACTACCCAGATGGTAGGGTTGTGAGGTGGGGGCTGAGCGGTGTGGTTGGTCTGGTGGTTTATGTGGCTTTGGGCTCAGCTGTGATGGCGTGCAGCCTAGATGCGGGGGTGCAGCGGGCGGTGGGAGACAGCAGAGTTGAGGGCTGTGGGTGGCTTATGTGTTTGCACTGTGGTTGCACCTGCTTATGTGGGAGGCTTATGTGGTTGATGGCGAGTGTCAGTGGCTGGGCCCTGCAGGACGGGCGACGCTGCAGTGGAGGCAGGGGTGGAGCAGTGGGGAGGCTTGAGCGGCCTTCGTACCTGACGTACCTTAGGGCTGTGGCGGGCCGTGGCTCGCTGTGCGTTGGTGGCTTGAGGAGGGGAGTCGAAGTGACAAGGGACTGGCGCTGTGTCGCGGGACCACATGGGGGACCAGGCAGGAGGGCAGGATCATCCGCCACCGCGATCGCCGCCGCGATCATCCGCCGCAGCGAGGAGGACAGCTCTCCCCTCCAGGTGAGGGAGGTAGGGGAGATCCCTGGCGGCTGTGCACCCGGGGATTACGACCGGAGCTGTGAATTATGCTGCTGCTCAAGTGATAGTCAATGTATCAAGTGATAGTGACCTACTGACATTGCACTTGCTGGGGAGAAGGGGGGGTGGGGGGAAGCGTAGGGGCTAAACGCAGGTGCTGGCTGCTGCCGGGGCTGATCCCGCTAACGCTGCATTTTTGTGGGCACTATACTAATGTGAACACTGGTATATAAAATATTGATCCGTTCAGACTCTATACTAACATTGGAGGTTTATTGTGTATGTGAGCATGTTCCTGGCAATCAAGGGGTTAAATGTGATTACTGGTGTACTGACGGGCAATCTGACGCTATCTGGGAGGGGCACGAAAGCTGCGGGAGCGCGAATTACGTATATATACGTGATTTTGTGCACCTGTGTGTCAAGGTCCTACCTTTTCCCTGAGGTTATGTTACTCCATGTGCTGGCGTCCATCTTGGATTCTGCTGTGCATGGTGGGAATCCTTTTTATGCCTTCAGGTCTCTGAGGTCCACCCCCCAGAGGGGCGTGGCTGATGACATATAAACCTGTGGCCCGCACATGCTCTTTGCACTTGTGTCTTGTGTCTTTGTGTTACTATTACTCTGTTCTGACTCTCGTGACTCTCCTGGTATTCTGATTCGGCTTGTGACTTGACTATTCTTTGTATTCTCCTTTGATCTGACCCTCTGTTGCTGAACCCGGCTCGTGACCTGTGATTCTCGTCTGCTGTCCTGTACTGTTTTGTCCTGTTGTTGTTGTTAACCCGGCCTGTCTGACTACTCTTTTGTCTCTTCCACCAGCTACACGCCATTGGCGGCGGCCATTACCGCAGCTGAGGTGTCTAGGGGGCCGCGACCTGGTTCCTGGCTGCATCAAGTCCATCCCCACCATCAGGGGCCCTGGTGAAGGGCAGCCTGGGACTTAGACTCCGCGCCCTGAGGGACTTCGGTCTGTGGGTGGTGGTTGTCGTCAGCCAGTGCGTTACATTGTTAGGCCTGCCTGTCCGTTCCTCGGCTCCTGCCCTGACACTGTGCCACCCTGTAGCAGTGTTTCTACTATAGAGCGGCGCAGAAGAGGTTAACCATGACCAGTAAAAAGAATTTTAAAAATCTAATTTTGTCATAAATTTATGCCAAAATGTATTCTACTACATGTCTTTACTAAAAAAAATCCCAATGCGTGTAAATTAATTGGTTTACGTAAAAGTTATAGTGTTTACAAATGGCGGTATAAATAGATAGGTTTTGGTTTTTTTTTTTACTAATAATGGCGGCAATCAGTGACTAATAGTTGGACTGTGGTGAACATTCTGACACTGGGGGGAACTGACTTGGTGTCATTGACATCCCCAGTGACAACAATAGAATGATCAATTCCAAAAAAAAGCACTGACACTGTACTAATGGCACTGGGCAGGAAGAGGTTAACATGGAGGAGTCATCAAAGGGTTAACTGTGTGCTGGGAGTGTTTTACTAGGGGACCGGAGGGGGTGTGCTTCACTGTAAAGCACATTGCTCTGGATGGCTCTGCTCAACCATCCAGAGCAGTGTGCCCAAACTGACAGGGAGGAAGACTGTTGGTAAACAAAACAAAGCATCCCTTCTCTCCGTCGGTGATCCTCATCAATCACCGGGCGCCGGTGGGTAATCACCTTCCAAGACCCGGTGATTGACACCCAGGGGCGTAATCGGCAGCATGGGTATATATGCGTGATTTTGCGCACCCGTGCCACCCTGTAGCAGTATTTCTGCTATAGGGCGGATGGTAAGTGGTTAAAGGGATAACACCCTAGTTCTGAATCCCTTCCTTTACCTCCCTGTGACAAGGAGGAAGGGTACTTTGGCTCATGCCTGAACATGCTATGCTATTAAGTTTTGGTGACTCATTTCTGTAGGCTCAGGCAATGGCTTGCTACAATAAGAAATTGTGCTCAAAGGAAAAGAAACCTTTGCGAAGTCTTGGTTCCTTGACTAGAAACTGACCTTTTGCCCAGTGCAAGGGACAGCCTTTGTTACTTCGCAGGAGCTGTCTTTTGAGCTGTTGCCTTAGGGGCAGGTGATGGCTGATCAACAGAGACTCCTACAGAAAGCCACTTACAAACAGCAGGGGAAGGATCCCTAGCCAAGTTCTTCATTTTGAAAGGACACTTTGCAAAGATTCTTGTTATGTACACTTTGCGAAAATCTTTTATTGATGGACACTTGTGAAGATATTTTGTATTTGTACCCAGTGAGGGAAGGATCCCTTACTGAGTCCTTACAGCCGCCGTGTTGGCGATTATTCCTGATACTGCAAGAAAAGGTGTGCTGCATGCAGGGAGACCTAAGCTCCCAATCCTCTATGTGAGAGCTATGGACTTTGGTTATCAGAGCCTGGACCTTAAATTTGAAAAAAAAAGGCCTTTAAAGTTGATGAGTCTATTTTTCACATGACATGTTTAGGTAGTGAAATTAGTCAGGATGTCTACCTCTGTTTTCAGGGCTCTGAGAGACGATGTGTCAAGAGTTGCCCTTAGGGGGCCATCATTAGATCTGTCTGCTACGAGAATGTTAGAGCAGATCTGACAGTTGCATTTTCAGTGGGAAGATCACCTCTTAGTGAGAGGATATTCCCACGCCTAGCTTTCAGAGCATGATGTGTAATGTGTACATATGTGTTCTTTCTCTTTCCCTGTAGGACTGCAAGGAACTACTGTCTCAGCTGAGGCCCTCCACTGTAATACATTATACATTGCTGATAATGTCTAAAATGTATCAGATAGTCTAGAGCATGGGTGTCAAACTGGTGACCCTCCAGCTGTTGCCAAACTACAAGTCCTATGAGGCATTGCAAGATTGACAGTTACAAGGATGACTCCAAAAGGCAGAGGCATGATGGAAGTTTCACAACAGCTGGAGGGCCGTCAGTTTGACACCCCTGGTCTAGAGCATAGTTAGATATGTGTTTATTTCACTCCACTAATTACTTCCATTTTTGCCGTGGGGTACACATAAAAGTTGCACTTGGTGGGACTCTACCTTAAACCTGTGTAAATACTTTACAGAAGATACTTTATTTTTGCACTGCTAATTTATTTGCCTTTATTGGGTCTGTACATATGTTACTCCTCTATTCCCCCTCCAAGTTTGTGGGATACTTTGCTTAGATTTATATACAAAATTTTTGTAGGGGTGGCTGCCCAGGCCAATGAGGACATGGCCTATTTTTTTTGTTTGGGGGGACGGTGAGTGTAGCACCCTCCTAGTCAGGTGCTAGGATTTCTATAGTTAGGCGAAGCATAGTTGTGAGAAATACAGTGTGCCTGGCTGCGGAGCACAGTAGGGGAAATCGGGGCAAACATACAAGCGCTCCTCGTGAGGGTATTGCTACAGTTATTTTTGTTCTGGGGATTAGCTACACTGTGAGGAATACATTGGTGTCAGACCCAGAGACAGAGCACCAACACACCTCTAAGGCAGCCCATAGATGACTAGGTTCCCACTGATCAGCACTGCTGGCTAAAGCCTGTGGTGCTAATTGAACAAGGAAAATCTGACTGGTTGGTTGTACAGACGTCAATTGGTAGACTGACTTCCATACAGCCAGCCTGCCTATACATGGATCAAAATTCAGCTGGTCCCTGCTGAATCAACCAAATTTCAATCCTTGTGTGGCCGGCTTTAGTCATCAACTCAGTTTACTCTGCTCTATCCTCCTGGCAGCACAGCATGATAAACTGTTAGTGTGGCCCCTACCAATACCAGTTCTACCATGCCATAGATTACAGGAGTTGATAACCAGACTAATTATTACACTAATTGTATGTAAAAATACATTTATTAATTCTGCAGTGAATACACACCTGCAATATCTGATTGGAGTTCAGTTTAAAGCAAACCTGTAGTGAAGGAATTGTGTAGACTGCTCAGGTGACCTTCCCTTTAAATAATACTATTTGGCTGTTGTGCTGACCCAGTGGCTTTAAGAATTTTGCACATATAGAAAAGGTAAGAAGATTGAATATTCTAACTTTGCAATTATGATGAAAAGCGTTGAAGCCAATGAAAATGGTCAGCAATGAAGGCCAGTAAAATTTTCTTACTACAGGTTTCCATTAACTCTGGCAAGTAAATGTATCTGATTGTGTGTGGATAGACAATACATTAGACTAGAGGCCATTGATTTCTTTTTTTTTTTTATGATAGGCTAGAAATTCCTAAAAATGAGTTCCCCAAAGACCAGATTTGAGTGGAGGGGCTGAGATTAAGTCCATTGCCTAATACTGCTTATCTTTGTACCCACAGTGCCAGATTTTTGAGTCCAGGTCAGTATAGGCTTCCTGTAGGTCCTAATGCTTAAAGGCCTTACCACTTAAACAACCATTTGCTTATTTCTTGAGTAGGATCAGCGGGCATCACAACACCTGACTCCAGCTGATCAGCTGCTTCTTAAAAAGTAAACCCTCTTAACTACACTGCTCAAAAACATTAAAGGAACACTTTGAAACACATAGTTACATAGCTACATAGTTAGTCTGGCTGAAAAAAGACAAAGGTCCATCCAGTTCAACCATAGAAAAAAAACCACATCAGATCTCAATGGGGAAAAATATCATGCTGGAGATCTATACTGAAATGGACTGGGTAATGTGTTAGGAACGTAAGGATGCCACATCGTTTGATGGAAATGAAAATGATCACCCACAGAGTACTGAATTCAAAGACACTCTGAAAATCAAAGTGAAAAAATGATGCAGCAGGCTAG